GTTTTATATTTTTAGTGGGTTATCTATTCTATTTATTGGTATGTGTGCTTGATATCGAGTGTGAACCGCTGCTGAAACAATGCAATTTCCCAGATTGGGATTAATAAAGTATTTCTATCCATCTATCTATCTAAATGCATTTATGGTACTGAGCATTGCCTCTTCAATCCATGCAAGTGTATACAACTCGAGTCTGGTGTACTGCTTAAAACAGTTTTGAATGACTATAAATGTCTCATGCATACCTTAACTACAGTGAGTTTTTGATGCAAGAAAATTTTTTTCTAGATGTTATCTGTGCTATGAATCATTATACTCATCCATGTGCTGTAAATTTTAAATGCGCATTTGTACTCGTTATAAATCTCCAATTGCAACACTGAAACTATTATGGCATTTTGTTTTCTTATGTTAATGGGAGATCATCACATACAACTTAAATATTCTAGAAGCATTATGCATCCCAAACCAAGGTACCATAACAACTGAAACATACAGTTACACCCCAAGCCAACACCAGCAACACAAGTGAGCTGCACTTGTGTGAAGAGGCTGACAGGTAGCTTGATAATTGGACAAATGCCCATTCCAGCCCCCTAGGAATGAGACACATCGACTATACATGCCAATTATCAAAGTCAGCTGCTGTGCTCACAGCAGGAAATGACATTGGAAATACATGTCATTTGTAGTGCTTGTCAAAGAAAATCTGCTTTACACCAAATCAAATGCGAACACCAGTCAAAGAGCAGAATGGTAGAGACCATTCAGAGTGAAATCTGATCAGAACTGCCAAACAACCCTTCTTTGAATATGAAGTTCTAGCTGGCTGAGACCATTACAAGGGCCCATGGCATGCTTTTCCTTGTTTTCTGACTTGTCTACAATGTTACAGTGGTGAATTAACATCTTAGACGTGACCTAAAGCTAAAAAAAAAATGCATACACATCTCGCCAACTCTCGCTCATGAGACTTTTTTCCTAACAAAATAAAGTATTACGGGATAGTTTAAAGATTTGTTTGAATGTTCATAATCTCCAGGCAGTTGCGTGTTCATTTAAGCTTGCCTGACATCCACCAGTGCCATTGTAAAAGTGGAATTTTTCAACTGCGCCCAGTTTTGTGGCTATATTTTACCTCCTGCTGCACGGTGACCAGAGGATGTGTAGAACAATACAGGGCCTGAGGTTACTGCATGTCCGGGAATGTTCACGTACAGGGACTCGCTGTTTTGCCCCGCGGCGGTGAATGATCAGCTCACCAAGGCTGGATTCCCCTGGCGCACAGTACCAGTTTGTTTTGACTGCTTGAGGACAGTGTGTCTGCCGCAAGTGATGTGTTGCTGGTTAACGATCCACGATTTTATTGTCAGTGCTACGCTACCTGTTGAAATTGATTTCAATACTTTGGGACTGTGTGTGGTCGTTCTGGAAGAAGATTCAATGACCACCGGTTGGATTTACCGACCCTGGAACTACCTGAAAGGGAGTGATGTTTCCACTACTCAAAAAAAAAAAAAAAAAAAAAAAAAAACAAAAAAAAAACGCAACTGTTTTAAAGCTCAAGAAGTTACCATGTCTGCATTATGCCAGTTAAAATATGGGGTTGCTCAATTACCCACTTTGTTTGGTGTTACACATCTCTTTTCATCAGTACATATACCGCTGTTTATAAATTAATGCTGTTGCAGTTTGTTGTGCTGTCCACTCGCGACAACACCAGCAGCATAAGTTGTGTGTGTTCACGAACTATGCTCTCGTTTTTAGGAAGAGGCTCTCAGGTTTTATCGTTCTGAAATAATTACTGACTATTTGGAGTTATGATGGGTGCAAAGCTAATCTAGAGGTACCCAAGATTAAACATTAAATGGCTGGAAATGAGCAAACTGAGCATGCCATGGGCACTTTTAAGTATACCTCTATGTGATCTTATTTTACAATACACTGGCCTTTTTTAAAGGTGGAGTTATTTGCCATGATACACCATGTAGCAGATAGCTCTTGGGTTGTTTGGCATTCTGTGATTTAAATTAAGAGACATCGGAGCATGGCCCATACTGGAGCGGGAGCCATGCTGAGCACCAAGAGAGGTGGTGGTTTAGTACTTGGAATTTGCCCTGGCTTCCTCTCACATTTTTAACAGAACTAAAGTTAAACTTTTGTTCTGGCAAAAGTGAAGATGGACAGCCAGGCTGGTTGGAAAGTTGGAAAAGTAAGAAAATATAGGAGGGAGCCAGAACCACTGATACCTTCAAAAACGGTCAACCATGCAGAGTGATGAGAGAACCCGATAGAATTGCCCGCCAAGCAGGTATACTCCCCAGCGTCATCAAAAGACACATTTCTCAGTTGGAGGATTTCCATTTCCTTGTCCGTGGTGTTAAGGCCAGCGTTCTAGAAAATAATACAGGAAGACGACCCAACAAGAGGCCCAAGAGGAGAAAGGGAACGGTAAGTAAAGGATTCTCAAAGAGAAAGGGGACAGAGGAGCGTTCTCCTCTTTGATCCAATACCATCTGCCCGAAAAGTACCATCAAGAGCCCCTGCAGAGGACTCTGTCAGGAAGAGCCCTTCAGCATCTGTTAGTGGAGGAGCTGGTTAGATTGAGTCTGCACTGCTGACCCCCACAATGGGCCACCCCATCACCACATCAAATACCTCAATCTCATCTCTACATGCAAGAGATGGGCAACATGGAAAACTCCACAGCAGAACATTACACACTCAAGCTCACACTCACACTCACACTTCTGCCAACTAGAAACAGAACAGGAGATCTGTAAAACATAGGTAAACAAAAGGAGGACAGCTGAAAAAGAAGCAGAGAGAGCCTGTGCGCTGTGCATGGAGCACTCTGAAGGGCAAGGGAGGAAGAGTAATAGAAGATAGCAGTAGAGGCCCTTATTAGGATGGCACAGCAAAGGCACAGGGTAGGAATGAGAATGGGGCCCAACAATAAATCTGAGACTAAATACTTTCAACTGTTCTGCTGGGAATTTTCCATAGTGTCATTTACAGTCAGGAGGGGGAAACGAAGGGAGGGAGGAGAGAAACAGCTGAGGTTGTCTTAAATTATATGGCCCTGGGTTTTCCAGGTGGTCCTAGAAGCACCTCCACTGTGTCATCCCTGTACTGTAGCATGGTGGTTACCTGTGGGCACATATCTGGTGACAGTCAGCCAGGCTGACTGATTGGCCTCTCCTATATAATTGGACACTTTACATATATACTCTCCGCTCTCCTCCTCGGTCACATTGTAGAGGGTCAGCACCTGAGCGTCCGAGCTATTGACCCCAGAATGCTGGAAATAAAAACAAGTCATGTGCTACACAAACAAAAAGAGTAGTAAACAGCAAAATTAAGTTCAAATTATATACTGGATGCACTTATGACTCCTTTTAGAGGCAGTACAGGGAATTTAAGAAAAAAAAAATGACAGCAATAACGGGAGAATAAACCAAGATGATGTCATGGGGTAGGACTAGATAAGTCTAACTTCATACTTAGCTGGGTATCAAACAGCAATACTTTTATGGCATCAATCAAATTATTTCAATACCATCTTATTTAAAAGTGCTTTTCTACATTTTTATTTACTGATATTAATGTTAACAGAACTTAAGGTTGTGGTAAACAGGTTTAAATTTTATGTTATGAAACTGCTTTGAGTGGAAAAAAATTCCAAGAAATTGAAAAATAAAACTGTGCTGTACCAAAATGTGTAGTGTGTGTGTTTTCCCTTTTCTTAAAATTGATTTTGTAAAATTCGTATTGAAAAAAAAAAAAGTATAGTTTAGGAACTGTTATTGAAGTCAAGGTATCGTTACTGAAATTTCTGGAACGATACCCAGCCCTAAAAACGGCTGATTTCCCTTAGCATTACAAAAACTTGTAAATTACTGTATTAACACACGCAGACTCCGCCTTGTTGCAGTAGTTCTGTTCAGAGTAAGCCCCTACCTTGAGGATACGGACATACGGTAAACCATCAGGACCAATACGGCTCCCATTGACTTCAGTATGCTTCAGCCACTGGATGTGAGGCTGAGGGTCGCTAAACACCTTGCACTCAAACTCCACATCACTGCCCACCACTGCAGTGCGATTAGCTGGGAGGCCAGCCTGCAGAATAGGCCTGTGTGGAGAGCGCTCTGCAACACAAAAGATACATAAATGTTTGTTTTGAGACAGTGAAGCAAACATGCAATATAAAAAACAAACACATGAGCAATAATTCAAGTACACATGACTGACTATCAAACACAAGGTAAATAAAACCCGTCATGATAAGGCTTTCTTACTGGAAATGGCGTGGGCTGATGTCAAACAAGGTCATATGTACAATTTGATCTGATACTGTGTAATTTCCCAAATTACAGGCCATAATTTCTCATATGAAGTGGCTACTTCCCCAAATACCGGTACATGCTGTTTGCCTAACTACTACGAGCTAATCACAGCAGATGGGCAAGCAAGTTAAGTGTCTCATCTGGAGCAGTTACTGTGAAATGAAATGTTCTTGCAGCTCATTTTGATGACCGATAACTCCTCAAAATAAACCTATGAGCCAAAAATCTGAGTTTCAACCAAGATGTCCACTGGGACTTAGTAATGCCAAAACTCTCCCTTCACTGAAGAGATCTCACACTAATCAGGCCTTAGACATCTGCAGAGCCCACGGTGCAACAGTGGCAGAGGAGTTCAGCTGACTTATAGGAGCAGTGCTGTAAAAAGGGAATCACAGAGCAGGTCCTAGAGGAGTACTAACATGTTCTGGTGCAAGACATTTATGGAATTGATACAACCTAACACTAGAGCTTCATGAATATTCAACAGGTGATTAAAGCATAATCAGGATTTCCTGGGAAGTTTAAATTATCAAAATAATTATAATTAATACTTACCCACTACATCTAGCTGGTAGGTGTGATTGATGCTGCCATGCTGGTTCTCCACCACACAGGTATAGTTTCCCTTGTCAGAGGGAACTACAGATTCCATGATGATGGTCCACACGTGGTCACGGACCTAAACATTTATGAAAAAGGCAAGGTTATTGTAGCTAGCATATAGAACAGCACTTTGGCTCAGTGACATAGGTTAATAAGCATTAACTAACTTCTCCCTCTAATTTTTGACCGTTGGAGTCAAAACAAACTCCAGCATTATCCCCTCCTGCCCAGTCTCTGAAGCTACATCATATGTGATCAAGACAGAGTGTAGCAGTCAGATACAGTAGTGCAGCTGTAATAACCACCTCCAGAACTAATGCATACAGAATATAGAACCCATGGTTTTCAGTGGCATTGCAGCAACACAATATCAAATAAAGAGGTTTACATTTTAGCGATATGCATATGTACGTCTAACATTGTTTGTAGTGAATCTATCTGCAATAGCACAAGAAAATTATACAGAGGAATGTTTATTCCATGTGATATTGATACAGCACTAATGTTCCAGCTACTATTGCACTGAAGAAGTGCAGTGCAGATTTTAGCAACACTGCCCAGAAAGGGGTAGATATAAACATAAGGCTTGAAGATAGCAGAGTGGGGTGGGCGGGTTTAATACAGCAGTGAGAAAACAGACAATTCTTTACTTATTTATCTGAATTTGTGCTAAATCTTAGTTAATGCAGCTTTAACTAACATAAATGAGGCCAGAGGTGAGGTAATACTGGCAACAGAGACAGAGGTAAATTCCACCTCTGCATTTAACTGCAAAAACTTTCTCCATCTGCACGGTCATGAACCACATTTTGTTCATTTAAAAAAGTTCAGTGATACGTGATATGATAACATAAACAGCAGATCTTGGTCCTACTCAACAAAGACCACAGGAAAATGGATATCTACAGTATCTATATCTCCCAACATATCTTATTTGCACCAACTCTTTTTTTCCTCAATGTTATAATTTTTCTTCCATAAATCTGTCAAGATTGGCAGTGTGTGATTAACCAATAAACCTCTAAGGCAATGGCAACATCAAACATGCATATACACAGACTGAACTATACGGTTTCCCTCGTTTAGCTCAAAACATGATGAGGGAGTCCAGCTGCCTGCTGCCAGATGTGTTGTGCATGGCTTCATATACATGTGGCCTACATTATTCCCTCCCTCCTGCATGTCTCCATGCAGACTATATTAACAATAGAAGCCTGGCCATAAAAGGAGGACAGTGGGAGAGACGTCCCCAGTCGCTAATGCAGACCTTTGCACCTTCACTGACAAAACAGCAGCCAGATGGTCAAGTGTGCTGCCTGGCTGGGTGATGGGCTCAGAGGGGACAAAGGGAGCAGGCAGCTGAGAGGAAACTCCTAAATGTGTCCCAGCTGGGGAAGGAGATGGTCTGAGGATGCACGAGACAAGGTTGGACTAACTTATACTTTGATGGGAAGAACAGATGCAAGGATGGAGGTGGGTTATTTCTTCACCTCTGTGAACATGCACACCTTTGGGACAACTGCGACCGAGTACAATCCATCTTAAAGTACAAAAAAAACCAAAACAAAACAAAACAAAAAAAAACTACAATATCTATGACTTCCTAATACATAATCACCATATTATATGTTGGCTGAGGCGGATGTGGATTAATACAGTGACTGGCTTTTATAACTTCCCCGTAGGAAATGAGTGCTATCACTGAAGCTCAAAACAAATCTTTAGAGCTCATGATGTAATTTACATTATATGATGGTCATTGAAACCAGTACATAACAGATCTAGCCCACACGGCTCACCTGCCACACCTCCAAGTAAATCCAGAGACTGGTTTAAACGGTCTTAACTATTATAAAGTCAGTTTATCCGCTTTTAGCATCACTTTTGAATACAGCCTGTCTGGAAAGAGTAAACACACCACACATCACAGATAAGGCCATATAATGGTAAATTTAGAACTGCATGGATGCAATTACAGAAAAACAATGCACTGATAACCAGAATGAGGACAGCAAGTGTTATACTCCATCCAGTCAGATGGCTATGATTGCCCACCTGGAGGTATTATTACTATAACAAAACATTCATTTTTGTGGCATAGGGTTTCACCTTATATTGTTTCTCAGGTCAAATGTGAAACCAGTCTCTGCTTTTCACTCGCAGAAAGCATTTCTTTCTCCAGAGGAGGAGGTGGGGTCTAATGTGGAGATGAGATCAGTAACATCTCAACTTGATGGGAATTGGGACTGAAGTGATGCAAGAAGAAAAGCTAAGGAGGGTGTAGTACCATTAACAAGAGGGGAAGGGGAACACATTTTCTAAATATTTTTATTATTTACCTTGAAGCCTCCAATGCGGTGGTCCCTCTTGAACTCCTTGCCATTCTTGTACCACTTCAGAGTGGGAGTCGGGTTGCCGCTGGCCTGGCATCGAAACTTCACCGTCTTACTAGCTGGGACAGCATGGAGTTTTTTCTCCATTTTTTCTGGATGAGCCCATTGTGGAGCCATGGCTTAAGACCAAAAAAAGCAGTTAACAGATGAGTAACAAATTCGTGTGTATTATAATGGAAAAAATGGATTTTCTAAAACTAAAAACAGCACACACAACTTTTTATGTATCCTAAACCTCATTAACAGGACTTGGCCGTACTGGATCAGCAAGAACATGTAGTTTCTTTTCAATTAAACAAAATCTTTTTTTTTTTTTTTAGATGCACTGGCTTTAAAATGTCCTCAGTTAAGTAAAGTTGTGTTGTGCACAGATGAAATAGAGATAAAGCTTTGCGAGCCAGACTACAAATTCAAGGTCGGCACGCCTCCCGTTCTTGGCAGCCACAGGACAATGTGGGCAGTAGTAGCCAGATGATGTAGCCCAAGTGTCTTAATTGCTCTACAGACAAATTAGACGACATCTAAGGTTAACCACGCTTAGTCACCGCAGCTGTCACTGTGGTAGTGAAAACCCTCTGATTCACAGTGAAATCATTCACTCAAACGTGACCCACACACGTGACCCTTAACTGAATCATACAGCTCTCAAATTGTTGACCATTCATGGCAATTACTAATCAGCCTGGGGCTTTCAGTGGGTGAGTAATGGCCATTTGCTGCACAAGCATTAGTAATGTGAAGGGCACACTTACGGAGCAGTTTCTGACTGCCCAGCAGTTTGGCTTCCTCTGATGAAGACTCTTCATCTTCATCCTCATCCTCAGATGACGCCAGGGTATCAACTAGAGAAACAGAAAATGATTGCAATGCCAAACCCAGTTCCTTATGTAGTAATCCACACAGTATTTTGTCACTGACAGACAACAGAAACAAACAAGGAGCAACACTTCAGTGATTTTTTTTTTTTTAATCTGAAAAACAGCTGTACGTTCTTCATGCAGGTATACACTGAAAACAAAGGCCAGTATATACAATGACACCATTTAATGACTACCGTCTTATTTATACAGAAAGATTAGAAAAATGTGACTATTCAGTGACAAAAATAACAAAATACTTTAAAGAACAACTACAAACTAAATTATCTGCACTGTTTCTACAACTTTACCTGTGACATTGAAGTAGTCGCTGTGGTTGCCGAAGGTGGTGCATGCATACAGACCAGAGTCGCTCAGCTCCACAGTCTCAATCTCTAGCTGGCCATTGTGGATGCGTGTGTGTTCTCCATCCACTACAATGACATGGTCTTTGGTCCAGCTGACAGCATGGAGGGAGTCCCTGACAGAGCAATTCAGATCCAGACGGCCTCCAAGATAGAGTGTGAACAGCTTCGCTTGCGGTTGCACAGACACTACAAAAGGAAATGCAGGATATGATTACTCAGCTCAGTAGGCTGTTTAATAAATTTTATGTAGTTATAAGCATAATAATATCCACAAACACAAAGTTTAGACCTTTGGTAAAAGCTATGATACATGTTACATTCATAATAGGACAACCACCAGGATTATTCCTACTCAATAAAACCATCATATTACAGACTGAACAGATAGTAACTGACAGGGAAATATTCAGAGCTCTCATTCAAAACAGGGCTGTTTCTGTAAACACTTTAAGAAGTACTTCAATCAGGGCACAGGGTCCAAAAGACAGCAGAAAACTCCTTCCCCGATTTCTTCCGGCACACTGCCTGTCTAACTGCTCCCCCAAATTAAATTGAATCCCAAATAAGGCAAGGCCCTATGATCAGGCAGGCAAGGAGCTACTTGGGAAAGGAAGGTGAAATTAAATTAGAGGAATGGAGAGAGGGGAGATGTCTCAGAGCTGAACACCTGAGCCCCCCTGTTCTAAATGACAACATAGCACACAAGGAGGAGGGGGTAACCCAATTATACTTACGTATTGTCCGTCACAATGGTGTTTGTCTAGTTAGAAAGGTAAAGATCGTCAGTGGCCAATTCGCTTGACGACCTTGTTCTAGAAACACACTTTCATGTCAAAATGGTACAAGAGGTATACTTCTCTGCTTACTTTGAGAACATAATATTGTGGACAAAGGCTACACATTATTTTCTTGCTTGTCAATTAATAGTTTTGTCTATAAAATTTCAGTGAAAAAGTGAACAATATCTATCACAACTAAAATTTCTTGTTTTGTCCGACCAATACTGCAAAACCCAAAGATATAAAGTTTACAACGATATAAAACAAGCTGAGACAGGCAGGAGTCACTCTTATTTGAGAGACTGGAATCACAAAGGTTCATAGTTCTGCTCAAATTATGGAAAAGATTAACTGATTATCAAAACAGATGCTGAAAAATTTTGTTGATGAATTGACCAATCAACTAATTGTTTTCAGTGCAAATCCACAGAACTCCCCTATGGCAACACTATGAAGCAAAATCTCTTTAAATTTCACTTGTCCCCTTTCCTCATTTCCGACACTGCTCCTCCGGCATTATAAACGAGAAAAACTGAACAAGATAATCAAATGCAATAGTGGTGAGCAATCCTCCAGATGAGATTATGAGCTGTTCTCAAATCAGTCTGTGTGTTTGTAAACACCTTTTCTCACAACAGAAAGTACATCTACACAGTATAACCTCAGGACAACATCAGCAGACCTGACTAATCCCTCCCACAGTCTCAACAAAGGCCTCCTAACAATAAAGGGGAAGAGGGAGCAGGGAGAGTGAGCCAGCGAGCATGTGCACAGGAGGGAGCGAGACGGGGCCTGCAGCGGCAGGTTCTACTGCCAGTTGCTATGGTGACCCCACTTGGGCCTAGTAAAGGTATTTCCTGGATCACATATGTCTGACAGGCCCTTAATCCCAGCAGGAAAAGGGGCCAGGGGGTAGGATCAACTTTCTCCTCAAAAACAAAACTGAAGGGGGAGAAGCAGAAGAGGCAGCTCTCGAACCTGGAGGTAGCCTTTAACACAAGGTGCCTCCGCTGTGTGTGAGGGCCTGCTAGTGTGTTTCTGTCCCCGCCTTCTGAATGGAGATGCCACTGATAACACTGTGTCAACATCCCAGCTGTTAGCCTGACTGTAGACATCATAAAAACCCATAAAAGCTATGAATTCTGCTTGTAGCTTTGCTGGAGGCCAGTCAGGATCATTTGTGCTTCTGTGCCAACCTATTTAAAAATGGAGTACAACACAGTCAAATCAACCCAGCCTAAGTCTAACAAAAAGAAAAACCTAACTTATTTTGAATAATTAAGTGGGGAAACATGTACATTAAACTTTATCACTCAGTCCAAGTATTTTCAGCTCTTCACATGGAGGCAAGTGCCGCATTTCCAACATAACATTTCCTTTGAATTCGAGGATGTTTCACCTCAGGTAATCCTCCTGCCACAGTCACTATGACTGGATTAAAAACCATATTTTCAGAAAGCAACCCATGTGGAATGGTCTCTCAGATGTTGCTCCAACCATTCCGAAAAATTGATTGACATAATTTAAAATTGGTGTAATTATATAAATGATGAAAGGAATTTGGTGAAGAAAAGAGTAAAACTCCAATGAGTTTTTAAACTTGGGTTAAAAAAAAAAAAAAGCCCACTAGTCTGTAAATTCAAGACAAACTAAGAGGAAGACTTGGCGCCAGTCTATGGAACCTTGTCTGAATACAAGATAGGAAGCAATATGCTGCGTGAATGACTTCTGGGATTTCCTGTACTCATTGCAGTCATGGTTGAATGCAGAAAAGTCAAGCTGGTTCAGACTCTGAGGTGGCACACAGAAAAACAACTATGGCAAGTTTTCTGTGCCGATTTGGCCACACCAGAATGAAGGGGTGGGTGACATGTAGAAGGGATTGATAAGAAACAAAAGGCATAAATGGCAGGAAGCAAAAAAAACAGGACAAATGCCTATTAGCAAGCCCAGAAAAGTTCCCAGTGAATGTCCCTGCTGAAAGCACTGCAGCGGAGGAGCTTTTCATTCCTAAATGAGCTGCTGACAATCAGCATGATTAGCACTTGGGAGCTACAAGGATTGCTGTGCCAGTGCAAAGTAGTTCCAGTGTCATTCAAATGGGTTCAGCTACATTTAGCCTGATATTATGTCTTTAATGGAAAGACACAGTAAAACCAGGACCTTTTAAAAGAAGAACTTTAACATGTTCTTTTACTTCTGTTTGCTCTACTCTAAGGTTCACTTTAAAAAATTCCTATAAAATTGTTGTAACACAGACTAAGGTAATCCGAAAATACCTTTTGAATAATTAAAAATAATCAGGTTAAAATAAAAATAATCAGGTGGGCCATTTTATTGTTTGTGCAGTGGATTGTTGCTCACATTTTGTACATGAGAAATTCAAACTCAACTGATGTCAAAATGTGTCAGCTTTACAAATTCTGCCTCTTATATTATTTTACACATTTACTGTTGAGATCAGGTTCACTGGTTAACCTCCGCCCCTAAATGAATTTGGGGAATTTTATTTATTTTTTTCTTTTTGGAATTTTGTTTCTCCTCCCAAATTTCCTGACCACATTTACTACATGAACATTAATATCCATCAGGAAAAAGTTAACATTAATTTTTTATCTTGGCTCTAATGTGTGCAACACCGGTGAAGCACCTATGAGACGACATACTGACCACAAAGGTTTATCTACAGTTACTGTCACTTGTCTTCAGATGGGAACATGTGATATAATTTTAACCATTTGTCTGTTTTCTCATTTTATTTTTAAATTGTAGCTACTATTTTCAACGCTGTATCCATGTTTTATTCATAAAGCAATCTAAACATTTCAGTGAAAGGAATCTTGTGCACCAATGTTGAGTCCTGAATCTCTCATGTGATTATTTTTTACCATCGCTATTTAAAAGCTGCCCCCATCACAGGGTCTATACTAAAACATACGTTGATTTACTATGTTATTAAAAAACAAAACTGAATATCCTTGTTCCATCTGCTCTCAGAGAGTCAGCAGAACTTACCCCCCCCACTCATGAATAACAGATTCTCTAGCCCTACATTAAATTTGTCTCACAATTCTGACCCGAGCTCTTAACAACAGAAGCTCGTATCTTTGGTATTTTCGTTGGCGTCCTCATAACTGATAAATAGTGCCCTCCTTCTTCGACATCGGATGTTTGTATTCTTCTGGTTTCACACCAGTCATATGATCGAAGGTCATCAAAACGCCCACTCCAGACTATACGCCGCTTTCTCACATGGTCGCACTCGGACATTAGATGACTACTTTAATGATCCTGAGGGAAATTCAATATATGAGGACTTTGTACTAGGGGAGCTGGCAGGGTAACGTCTTAATGTCCGGGTGGACTGACTCAGACATTTATGTTTTCACATATAGCTCCTCCAGGTAATGTTCAAAGCTCCAGTGCATGTCTGAAAAGGGCTTCTAAGAAGTGTTCTTCTCAGATTTGCAACCAAATCTAAAGAAAAGAATCGACATTAACTCTGAACAATACAGAAATAGCTTTCTGATACTTCATTATCACACTAATAAAAAAAAAAAACCTACACAGAACATTTTATAACAAATGTTTAGCTGAAAGATCACGCAAAAGAGACGCTTCAGGGGACTGTAATTGATTGATTGTCCCTGTAGCCCCTACAGAAATTCAATGAACTGAATTTGTTCAGAGTATTCTTTTGTGAACAAAAAAAAACAAAACCTCCATGACAAACAATGAAGCATACATAAAACATGACCATTTCCATATAACTATTTTGTTTTCCTAACCCAAGACAAAAGGAATGCAACCAAATGCTTCTGCTGCGATTGTCTGTCGACAGCTGAAGCCATCCGTCACCCAGCAGGGGAGCGGGGGGGAAAGTGAAGCATTCCCAAGCTGAAGTCAGCAGGGGAGCAGGAGCAAAAAGCACAGAGGTGCATAGACAGTACCTGGCCATTTGGTGATTAAGAACTGGGTGGAGTGTAAATGCATCAGACTTCCCCACCCCAGTGGAAATTTATCACTCACCTTAGAAGATAAACATTCTCCTCAGAAACCTTATCCTTGAGGATAAGGGAGGGCTCAAAGTAGCATCTTCTTTCCTTTTTTCAAAAAAAGCAGCCTAATTTATAGCTTCCCTGGCAGTTAACTCCTCTCTCAGTGACAACAAATACCTTTTCATTACAAAGGAGGAGAAGAGCAGGGACTGCTGGGTAGTGGTGCTGCCCTTGGGCTACAGATGGGAGTCATTTACTCCTCCCTGTCCCACTGTTGGCTTAAACACACCCGCGCAAAGTTTATTTTAGGGCTTACAGCTCAAGAGACCCTCTTGCTTAATTACTCTAATTATAATGCTGAGCTTTATCATATTCTTTTGCTCTGCTCCACTCCACTTCCAGCTGCAGAATGTAAACATCCAAACTTATCTACCCACAAGTCCAGGCAGCAATTACACTGCTGGACTGTATCCAAGGGACACATTTTTAAGGATTTGATTTCAGTGCTTCTTTCCCCTTTTCAGAGCTGGACTTGTGTAACAGTTAGACAAATCTTAAAGCTGCACCACCAAGTCTAAGAACAAAATTAATTCATTATACTAAATCTTCATCTGCCAGATTTGTCAGGAACCCAGTTCACATACTGCAAGCTCAATAGCACTAACTGGTTTAGTTAAAGATGTCAGTAAGGGAAACACTGTTGTACTACAGCTGATGCAGTAAAGTGCTTTCAAACAAGAGCCCTTTTCAGACATGTACTGGAACCCTGAAATTCTCTAGATATTATGTGTGTGAGAACGCAAATGTCCAAATCAGTCAACCTGGACCTTAAGTGGACTTTACTCTGCCAGCTCTCTAGTACAAAGTCTGTGTAAGGTCTGAGTGGGCCTGTGTGAGAATACAGAAGTGTATAGTCCACATTATTCACACGAAGCTAGCAGGCATGTTGATGGCGTTCTATCACGTGACTGCTGTGAAACCCGAAGAATACAAACATCTGATGGTGAAGAAAAAAAAAAAAATCATTTACAATGAAGACACCCAGAAAATATCTAACTGGAGGAACAACGTGATTCAGGAACTTCTGTCATTAAGAGTGGTGCCAGAATCAGGCAAAACAAGAGAAGTTGATTATGACCAAATTACAAATTGGCCATGTGACTGCATCATGTCCTGTCTTCTGTGCGCTCCTACAACATAAAACAAACTGAGCATTTCCAGTATGCGAGGACATGTCCCACATGGACTACCTCCTGCTCTGAGCTAAATGTGTGAAAGGGCAACTCTCAACAATGTCTGGGCCCGATTCCATGGATATAGTCCAGAGTTCATGTGTGAAAATGGCTAAGACCAGATTCCGGCAAATACAGGTGATGGTGGAACACTGACACTACAAAGAAGAAACTTCATCAAAGCCGGGAGTGTGTTAAGATTACACTGCTGTACAGAGAACAAAGCTCTGATTATCAGTGGATTCTTTCTCAAGTCAAGTCAGACTTAGGGCTGGGTATCTTTCCAAAATTTTCGATTCGGTACCAATACCTTGACCTTGGTACTGGTAATAATTTTTTCGGTTCCAATTTTAGAAAGAGAGAGAGTGAGAGAGAGACAGACACACACTAAACTACACTACACTACACTTTTTGGTACAGAGTAGTTTTATTTTGAATTCCTTGGCATTTTTGTGTACTCAAAGCATAACATAAAAAGTTAATTTACTACAACTGCAAGTTCTGTTAAGATTCACATCAATAAATAAAAATATAACTGAGCATTTTTTTGATGCTCGATGGTATTTAAGCAATTCGATCGATACCCAGCACTAGTCAGACTTAGCTTCAAACAGTAGCCTGATGTTTAATAAGGGCGTTTTCACATTTAGTACTTTTTAAATTAACCAAACTTCAAGCAGACCAACAAAAAGGAACTCAGTTTTTTTTTTTTGCGTTCACATTGCGAGTATACTTGAGAAAGTACTCTTTTCTCTTTCTGGTCTTTCTGGTCCACTTCAGCTCTGATTGGGCCTTAGTTCTCTTTCTGTTCACACTATACTCTGGAGCTCTCAGACTCCTTTGGCATGTGGCTTTCATGTCAAAGTCTTCTCTACTTTATCTCATTTCATTGCATGTGGTAAAGCACTTTTGACAGTTTTTTTTCCCCCTTTCACTGCAGTGGGGTCCTAATGAAGCCCCTCACTCATACGAGCTGAAAACTGAAGGAAAACCTTAACGTGTCTGCGCGTTGTGGACAGTTGTATTTTGTGGCAGTATTCTTTGATCCATATCTGGCAAAGTGCAGTAGTTTCTTCCTTGAACCAATTTACTCATCCATATTGGTATAATTTTTAACAGCACTACCACTAGTACTGCTCATCTATGTGGAAATTAAACAAGCAATAAGAATAATGTTAAAGTTTTAAAAAAATTAATAAAATTATTGCTTTATTTTCTCACATTTACCATTAACATTCTTGAGTATCGAACTGCAACAGTGCCGTTTTGAACAAACCACTAGACTAGTGAAATGTAAAAATATTGAACACAACTTTTTCCTTTGACAGTACTTTTACTGTGAGGTGCCTCCAGCCCCCAGATCACTAAGAGGCATGGCTTTGTGTGTCTGCTAAGGTTGACTGATGTAATTTTCATCACGGCCCCAGGTCCATGAGGGTCTGTTTAGCAAAAGCCACACCTGCTCACATGCCACAATGTCACTGTACATGGACAGAAGGCTGACCCATGATCTGAAGTATGAATAGGAACACATGCGCACCCCTCATCCTTGTCCATACGAGGATATGAGCAAAGCATAAATTCCTCTTAAATCCGACCCTACTCTAAGTACTCTCATGTGAAACTGCTGGCTAATGGTTAGTTTTAATCATTAACCCCCATTCCTTTAAGTTAGATAACGCTGTGAGCGGGTTAGGTATTAGGCTGCTAGCATCCTATATAATATATCTGGGCAAGGAGAGATAAAATTTGAACTTGTCAGTGGAAAACTGAATTTCTCTATGATGAAATGTCACTGATATTTTGACAGATTGCGTTTCTGCTCTTACATGCAAAAGGTTAGAAGCAAACCTGGAGCACTTTGTGTTCACAATGTACATATTAAATGAACCGCATCATAGACTTGAAACAAACGGAACTGAGACTATTCATTTAAATTTCATTTCAGAAGGGTCCGAGTTCATTTGGAGTGTTCATATATACATGTAAAAGGCTGACCGACTGCTCTAAGTCTTTGTAAGGGCTGAAAGGGACCAGGTGTGAAAACACCCTAAATCTGCAACCAGATTGAGAAAGAAAGAAAAAACAAAAAAGAAACCTGTATAAACCATCTTACCTTCATCAGTGTTGGCAGGCCGGCACTGGGTCCTTAAAACTTGGGCCAATAAAGCCAGAAGCAGAAGTATACTTTGCCTCATCAGCATCCTGCTGAGGGAGCTACAACTCGTGGGCTTTCTGGAACTCCATTCAGACTTCTGGGGGGGGGAAAAAAAAAAAAAAGCTAAAAACAAATGAATACATGACCAGGTGAGCAAGCCTCATGGTTTCATAAGTCTAAGTAAAGCAAACCCGCAAAATCAATTCAAGGTACAAGTTTGTGTGTGTGTGTGTGTGTGTGTGTGTGTGTGTGTGTGTGAGTGTGAGAGAGAGAGAGAGAGCGAAGCCTGCTTGGCCTATGCTGGAGGAAAATAAACTGATGCAAGAATAAAGCCAGGCCAATTAAGATCCTCAGATCACCATTCCTCAAAACAGATACAAACCAGTAGAAATTTATTACTAATGACAGTCTGTACTTGTGATAAGTAAATTCCTTACTGGTCAAAAAAGAAGAGAATATTCTGTACGTCTACTAGGTTCAAGGTAGGTATTCAGCATGTAGGCCTGCTTGTACAAAAACACTGATAAGAAACAGCAGAGCTCCAGGCTCACTCTGATAGCTTGAACAAACAATGCTCAGTTCTTAGGCATGAAACATTGTTGTTGTTAAAACTTTAAAGTAACTAAAGGCAGAGCTCATAAAGACTGTCATCACACTCAAAGTGATGCCATGTAAACCTACAGCTCATGCTGCTGGAGCAGGAGCTGAATGATGAACAGTACCCTTCAAAAACAGGCACAATGCAGTGAGTGACCCTCACATGCACATCTGCTTGCATCATCACCTCTGCAGCATCTGGCCACAGAGAGTAAGTAACACTTACCCCCATAGCCCCACCCCCACCCCCTTGAGAAAGGTGTCTGAGGCAAAGAACTTATGGGCTGTAGCCTGTTACATGACACCTGTGTGGAGAGAGACCTCCAGGCCATCATTTCCCCACTGAGAAATCTGTCACCTAACAGCTGGTTTTGGTCCTCAAGCCCAAAATGACACCCCTGTAACCATTTGTTCCCATGCTTGGTTTTTAAGGTTTGTTTATTCTCCTTAGTTTAAGCCTGAGAACATAGGCCTTACCTGTGAATACAAAGTTTGAATCCAAAATATCACAGTCCATTCTGTAAAACAGAAATAACTTTTTCACACAAAATCATGTTCAGATGCAGCTGGGGTTTCATTTAAGAGGCAATCACTTGTGTGTGCATTCTTCCCTGAAAACGTCATTGTGTTCTCCTCAAAACCAATTCAGTTTCACTTTCCAAGAACAGTTTAGTGTTCGAGCAGCTGAGCTGGGTCAGGAGGGTCCACAGAGGATAACGAAGCGTGGTCATCGCCACTCTGTAAGCAGTGAGTCAGTCATTGGGAGGGCTCCAGCAGAGTGCTTCTGCTGCCAGACAGAAGGAACCGCAAAGAGCAGCAGACCACATTCCCCAGGCCCTCATCACTACAACAGCAAGCAACAACTGAAAGAGGAGGAAGTAGCTTCTCCAAAGTATGACACAGTGCTTTGTCATACTCTGCTCCCCTGTGCGCAAGAGTTAAACTTACAATGTGTCTTACTATCCACACAGAGTGCTCATCTGTCTCAGCAGAGAATGACCCACACATCAACACACACTGATGTTACTGACTGATACACAGTCACAAGAAACAGTAGTGGCACTGTTTGTAATTTCCTGAGTTTTCTTTTTTTTGCATAAATTGGTCATGAAATATGATCTGATCTTCACCAATGTCACATATATCAACAAACAATATTTCTAAGCTGATAAAACACAGTCACGTCTTTATTGAACACACCCACTAAACATACAAAGTGATAATGGAAAAAGTAATGGCAACAGTGTTTTAATACCTGGTTGAACCACTTTTGGCAGCAATAACCTCAGGCAAGCACTTCCCGTAGCTCTGGATTAGACCTGCACAACATTGAATAGGAATTCCCTATCATTCTTCCTCACAGCTTCAGCTCAGCCATATTCTTAGGATGTCTGGTTTGAATGGCTCTCTTGAGGTCATTCCACAACATTTCTGTTGGGTTCAAAAGGCAGATTTAGTCTCTGAAGCCATTCTGTAGTAGATTTTCTTCGATGTTAAGGCTGATTGTCCTGCTGCATCAACCGGCTTGTTCTGAGGTTCATCTTGCAGAAAAACCACCTTGACGTTTTCCTGTAGGATACCTTGATAAACTTGGGAATTCATTTTCCCCTCCACAATGGCAAGCGGTCCAGGTCCAGAGGCTGCAAAGCAGACCCAAATCATGATATTCCCTCTTCGATATTCCACTGCTGAGATGTTTTCATGTTGGTTCACGGTTCTCTTTTTAAGCCATACATAGTGCTATGTGTTCTTCCCAAACAGCCCACAGGACATCTGCCCAAACTTCAGGCATGTTGCAATGTTGTTTTTGAGAGCAGTAGCTTCCTTTGTCCTGCCATAGACTATGTCATAACTGTTGACTGATGAATATCTAAAATCTTAGAGATGACTAACCCTTTCCAGTTACATGCAAATCAACAACTCTTGACTGTAGGGTTTATAAGATCTCTTTTTTTTATGAGGCATGGCTCACATCACCTGATGCTGCTTGTGAACAGCAAACAACACCGTTTTAAGTCAAAGTACTGTAGTTCTAAACCACACCTCCATTCTTGTTTCATTGATTGGACTCCAGGTTTGCCAACACCTGACTTCACCTTATGTTTAATGACATCCGAAGCTTCATGTTGCCATTACTTTTTTCCCCAACATCACTTTGACTGTTTAATGGGTGCATTCAATAAAGACATAAAAGATCATGACTGTTTGCATTTATTTGTGACTTTGGAGAAGACCAGATCAAATTTCATAACCAATTTATACAGAAAACCAGTAAATTGCAAACAGTGCCATTACTTTTTCTTGCGACTGTAGATTGGCTTAGATTTAAATATCTGTTAAAATAAAATGTCCACATCTGTATCTATTTGAGACCTATTGTGTTAATTTCATTTTCACTGTAGTATTTATTTATAGTTACTATTAGAGCTATAAATTGTAACTACAAACTGGCCAGGCAGCTGCACCGGCCAATACTGGCTTATCACAGATAGATCAGTACCATTACATACAGTGTATATCTTTACTGTGTACTGCATATCTTTATCACAATTATTTAAAAAAACAAATAAGGATATGTAAACTGGCTGTTTATGTTAAAAAAGGGGGGCTGAAAATCTGTATTGTTATGGCATTATTTCATTTTTAACTGCCAAATGCTGATATCTATCCTGGCCTCAAAACTCCATTAGGTTGTGGGTTCATTGTTTCCCATACACTGACTTATTTGTGGCAGGCTGCCACAATGTCAACATTGACTGCCACACATTGATTTAAAATATGTAGGTTAAACCTTAATTCAGTGTAGTGCTACAACAGGTTTTGTGTTGAAAAGTGTTCCCCTGTCGAGATACGTTTCCCCTGTTCCATACTTGGTTTCATGTAGTGCCCCTTCAGCGGTTGTGGATAATGTTAGAGTTCAGGTTATGGGAAACAGATTGACACAACACCAAGTGTAGTGCATGTATTCTCTCAGTCCTTCCATGCCCCGCTCCATTTCACTCTCTCGCACACACAAACACATGACGATGGACCATCTGTGAACAACTCCTTCTCTCCACGTTTGTTTTTTTTAACCAACTCTTCTAGTATGTCATTAACAAGCATGTAAGGCTGGCCAAGCTAACATCAGAATAGAGCTGTTGCTGAGGTTAGCACGCTGCATATTGCATGGATGTATATGGACTGCTCTGCAAGTTGATCAAGTTAAAGCTAGTTCATAAATTGGTGCTGATTGTCTGCCCCTCCGTCCAGGGGAATATCGAAAAACACAAGTGGGAAAGCGGATCAGTGTGATTAGTGAGCCAACTGATTCATTTTGAATATTTACTGGCACCGGTGAAGCAGCAAAAGAGGGTCAGAAGAGATGGCTGAAGAGAGAGATGTAGGAAGAGGGCAGCAACTAACATACAGCAGCTGCTGCAAAAGACCCAGCTAGTGCAGGAGGGGTAGGTCATATGAATAGCATAATGGGAAACACTGGGGTTACAGTTAATTTAATAGCCCAATTTGTATAATAATTTATTTCCATACTACTCATCAAAATATAGTCTCTTTGCTGTCATTTTCATGTCTCTGTGCTGGCAACAGGAGCTAAAGCATTTTCCAAATCTGCATAGTTCTCTGAACTTGTGTTCTTGCAGACTTGTAAAATGTCAGTCACAGCCCAAGTACTTTCCCCAATTCAAAGTCTGCATTCAGCCAAGTACACAGCAAAAAAAAACAGAAGTGTTCTTGCTCTGCTGAGAAATAAAACCAATGTGCAAATGCCAAAGCCTGCAGTTCCTTGAAGGGCCACTTGAGGCTAGCTCCAAAAGGGAGTCGGTCCCCATAAAGCAGGGCTGGCCAATTCCAGTCCTCGAGGGCTGCTGTCCTGCTTGTTTTCCCAACTATCCCTGCCTGACCTGCTGCTGATTACCTGGCTCAGGTGTGTTCAGCCAGTCAGAAGCTGGAAGATACCAATTCACTGTGGACTGGAACTGGCCACCCCTGCCATAGGGTCTCATGTTAAATTGCCCAAATTTACAACAGAAATAAACGTTTACAGCCTGGTACAAAAAACAGTTTTGGTCTCTATAGCCATAGCCAATTTCCTTTTCCATGACAACTGTATGGGAGGTAAAATATTTTTTAATAACTCACCCATTTAAATTATACTGGGAGTAAAAGTTACGCATAATTAAGGGAATGGCCACTTTGAGTGACAGGCAGGAGGGTTCTGCCATAGGTGGCTATCCACTAACTCTCTAGAGAGCTCCTCTCACACTCTGCTTCTTTGCCCATTTTTTGGATTAAACTTAACAGGCGGGGTGAGCTTCAAAACTGCTCATCAGAAGACCAATGGGTGACGTCATGGTGGGTTTGTCCAGGTTCAAGGTTGTTTTTTATAATTTTTCAGATGAGAAAGCAACCACAGATTAAAAATATGTGATTAGTTTATCAAGTAATGCCGATTTGGATATTTGCTCCAATGTTTTCAAAGATGCCAGTACCTGCTAATAGACCAGCTAGCTATGATTAGCAACTACAACTCTGTGTTAGCAAGGATGCAGGTGTTCCAATTACACGAGAGCACTACATCGTCCTGTTCTCAGGATCAAGAGTTTGTGCTTAAACTTACCAAGTCCGAACTTGGTGTACCAGGTATTGAAACGCCCATTATGTTTTCAGGTTGTCCATCCCTACGATTCTTGTGAATGCAATATGTCAAGAACACCTTTCTTCAAATTTGGCACAAATAAAGTGTAAGTAATTCACGAGTCACCTAATGTGTATTCATAAATCAAGACATCTCTCAATTGCTTACACACCTTTTTAAACCCCTCAAATCATTAAGGGCACATTCTGAATTAAAGCAATGACAAAAGAGACAACATGAAGAAAACCGGCACCCAAATACATCTCAGACATGTGAGTGCTTAAATACTACAAACCTTTACTGAAGCTTCTTGACTGGTTCTGGTGGATGAAATTATCTGTATTCACTTAAAAACGTAACCAGATCTGCTTATCGACTCACCAACCAACAGATAAATCTAAACCTCGAAGCAGCAGTAGATTCAAACTACCAAGACCAACATCTACGCATACATATACAGTATTTTGTGTTACATTGCACCTTGTAGTGTGCACAGCTTTCCCACTTTTTATTTTGAGATCTTTCATTAGCAATCCTTATTGGTCAAACTGTTGGTGAGCCATGACAACACACGTTGCACGCCAATTTTCAGGAAGCAATTTGGCTTATAAATTTATGAAAGAAAAGTAGTTTAAAAAAAATCTAAAACAACCCTTAGCTAATAAACTGGGAATGCCCAGAAAATAAACAGTGTGTAGAAATCTTACATTTGAAAAGATTAATTTAGTGATTTTCTGCATTCCAACACCTGCAGGCTAGAGAATCACACATTTGGTAAAAATCACATTTTCTGCACTCTTACAAGATAAAAACATTGGACTGAAAATTAGGTAAGTAAAAGTAGTTAAACTGAACAAATTAGAAACATGCAAGATGCATTGAACTTACTTTTCTCATTATACAAAAACAACAGTTAGAGGCTCAACCCATAACATGGCCTGGACTGCAAGCTAATTACTGTTCATTGCAATTCATGCATAAAATTCCTCAGCTCCCAAATTCTGGAGCCCTCTTCCCAGTTAAATCTGCACTTTTAGTCTGCACAAGGCTGCAAACCCAAGGCTCAGCAAACATAAGAGCATAAGGCCATCTCCCAAAGCTAGTGTTTTCATAAAAACAGACGCTTGTGGGGTTTTTTTCTTCACAGATGCACAATCTGAATCAGTGCTTCTGCACAGAGGGAGATCAGGTGTCAAATGTAAAGACAATGTCAGGCCATCTGACACTATGTCATTTGGTTAACACTTCAGTAGGCATGAGTGCACATTTTCCCCAAGAGAAATTAAATCAAGAAACAAAATTAACCCTGGAGATGTGACTAACATGCATTTAATTCTATCAGCCTAAAACATCCCACAACACACACAGAGACAAAATAACATGAAATCCTAAGCCTGTAGAAAACAACAGCGATATCCGTCAGTGAAAAGTGACCACAGTCTACTTACCAGTAAAATTCTCACTCACCCAAACTACATTTCTTGATTTACTTGTAGTAAATACATACAGCTCAAGTGACAATAATTCTGCTGCAGGGGAGCAGCCTAGTAAATTAAAGGGCAGGACTATGCCTTACCTCCCATTACATGGCAAAAAACCACTTGTTTCCACCTGGTGAACTCCCTGTGGACGTGCTACTTTTCTAAACCATCCATCGGCTCCCTCTCCCATTGTAACATAACGTTTAGAGCTATACATGACACAGACTAGTCCTTGCAAACCCAGACTTCATGACAGATTTAGCAGTGATGGACGTCCTGAGGGAGTTAAAGGTAATATACTCATTGCGGTTTGGAATAAGTAATTTGCCCCATGATTTGAAAGAAATAAACATTGCAACCTGAACCTTGCTGGTTATGTTTGATAGCTTTGTCACAGCATGAATGTTAAATGTGACAGGTCTTAAAAAAAAAAGGGGAGGATGCATATGGAGACACCAGGATAATTTTTGTAGAGATTCAACACAGCTGCAAGCAAGACAATAAGGCATCTCAGAGCCATTTATCCATGAAACCAAATTCGATTGCTAAAAAGAATTACGTTAGTTGTAGTTTAATACATCTGTTTTCTAGGTTTCACTCTTGATGTGGGAAGTATTTACTCAGGTAGTTAAATTATTTAATTTGATTAAAGAGGCCTGCTGTGACTTTAGACAGAAGACCAAAGCAGTTTTAGCAGGATTGCAGGCAACGTCTGGGCCTTGTGCTTTTACTGTTTATATGCTTTTCAATACCAGCATGGAGGAGACTGGGGTGTTCGCTAGTAGGCATGGAAAACACGGCTTTCTAGTTTAACGAGGGCACGGAAAATCATTTTCTAAAGAAAAAGGTCAAAAGCCACAAATTGGTGTTTGCCAAATTAAAAGCCACAGTTCTTTAATTGACTCCATTTCAGAAGAAGAGGCTGATCAATCAAATCACATCACAGCAATGGGGAGCAGTAGCTGACCCATTTAGCTCGTAAACACGCAGTAAAGTGAAGCTAAATCAAAGAGTGAAGGAATAATGAGACACCAACTCACCTCACTGGCGGGCGGCTGCGAGGCAGGCAGTGTCGGTCAGACGAGGAAGACTCCTGAGCTGAGATTGGATGTAGAAAAAGGAGAAAAACACCCCGAAAACTATATATCCACACTTAAATTTGTGTCCCGTTAACGAAAGTCGCTTAATCCAAGTTATCAACGTTTAGCTCACAGGTCAGATGTTCGCCAAACTTGTACGACAGAAGAAAATAAAGTCCCTACCACAAACCCCAAATAATCAATGAAGTGGAAAAAAACTTCCCAAACTGGTGTTAGGCTCGTCAGTTTTTAAACTTCAACATTTGGCCCCGGTGTCCTTTGTGACAACCGTCTTATCAGACCCAAAGAAGATACGCGAGTACAACCTATGAGGTAGCTTCGGGTAGTTAGTCCCTTTATCACGAAACGTTTCGCTCGCGATTAAATTAAGTCTCCTCACCTCAGAAAACTGTATCCCAAAGTTGTTCAACTCGCTCACACTAAATTCCCGGTGGTATCTGTCGTTCAGTGTCGTATTAATTTACAAAATAGCGGTACTTAAATCAATCCTAAAAACTATTTTTGGCCATTCCTGGCGACAACATGCTGTTAAACAACGAGAGACCGAGCTGCACCAAACCTCCCCCCCTTAAATCCGAGACTATGCCCAATCTCCGGACCATTGTCAAGACGGTGAGAGTGAGCGGTGTGACGGTGAGGCCACTTCCTGTCTGTATATCCAAAATAAAAGCCAGCGTTAACATCAGCGCGCAAACTGCTTGGATATCAATACGAGTTTTAAAAATTTTAATGAGATTAAATAGGAAATTTAGTTAATTAATTAACACAGTTTAGTTAATTAATTGTTAGAGTTAAAAAAAATTACCATTCCCTCAAATTGGAAAGTAAATATTTTAAATGTAAATGTTTTGTTTAGCCCTGTTTTGGTTAGTTCTTACTTTTACTTGATTTTACTATTAACCTCATGTCGCACAGAAAGACACTTCATCTAGAAATACTGTACACCATTTTACATCGTCAATAATTTTTACACAACATACATAACCTATTCATTGCATCATCTGTTACATATACGTTTTGCTCCAGATATAGGCTTTTTTTCCTGAAAGTGCAGCTTTTATTTTGAATATAAAAAATTC